GCTATTACATAATTGAATCACATGTGTGTTTGCCTATATTGCAAATGTTTGTGTGGGAGAGATTTCGCCCGAACCTCCTTGGTTGTGTCACCAACGGGAAGGTTTTGAAGGAATATCCCATGGCCAAGTGTAGTTACACTAATGGGACAGCTCCATTGGCCTGCTCTTGGATAGGGAAAAAGAAGGTAAAGGGGCAAGTAATTTTGGAAGTTGATGGCCTTTTGGACGACTATAGCAATTTTAATTTCCAAGCGTACAAGATGATGCTAGGGACATTTGCTCCACCCGAAGTGAGCTTTTTCAATAAGGCACTCCTAACAGTGCCTGAAAACCAAGTCGTAGATATTATGGGAGATTAGAGCCATTTAGAGATGCTGGCACTGATCACACCATCCATGCTGTTGTGTATTACATGGCGGGGGACATGGAGTCTAAAGTGCTACTGTCCAGAGAGAGTCGGAAGGTAGTTTGGCTATGACTAAGATATACCTCTTACTCCTTTTTTGGATAGGACAAATTGGAATAAGGCCATGCAGCCTTACACTAATGACGCTACCATAGCCATGTGGAGTGAGGGTGCTGCCACACTTAGATTTTTTAGTGCTGCCAAGATGTCAATCATGTCGTCACCAATGTTGGAGTATTGGGAAACATTGCTGAAGAAGTTTGCGGCTTTTAATCAATCATTGTCAAAAGTGGTAGAGTATAATCTTGCTTCTCAAGATTGTGAACGTCTCTTCACCCATAACAATTCTTTCTTGAGTAACTACAACAAACATTCTTAGGGATTCTTGACAAGGGAGGACAATGGACAGTGGGTACCCGTCTGTCCACCTATTCTTGGCAGTGGTGGAGGAAGAATATGATCACGCTGTTGTCGCTAGTGAAGAACTCGAGTATGAGGTAGTTAGCGATGTTGGAGTTACAGGTAAGCACACTTTCTTGCTCTCATCTTAAACTTTGGTTCTTCTTTCGTTTGGAGACTTGGCCAAACTAAACCAATGTTGAAAAATGTTCTATGGTTTTGTTTTTTTCTTATGGTTTTGTGTTTTTCTTATGATGTTGGAGGAGGAGTTAGCGAAGCTGCTTCTTCATAGAGACCAATTCTGGGCAAGAGGAAGAGTGTTGCTCATCCACCAAAAAGTAGAGCATGTAGGATTGCTGCTTCGCCAGCCAGTAAACAAAGGAAGGCTAAAGTACCCATACCCTCCAAGGTAAAGACTATTAAGGAGAAGGAGACAAGTAAGGACAATGATAATGATGAAAGCTCTTGGGGTGATTTAAATCCCGAGGTAATCGAGCAAATCAAAAGGTTGAGACTCGTTCGCAATGGTAAGCGCTTGGGTGAGAAGTAATATAATTCAAGCGCCTCATTCCAAGTGTACTGCTAGGCATTTCCTCTACGTGCCTTTTGATCGTTGTTGACCTCACTAAAGATTCTTTAACATGTGGCTTAATGTTTGCATGAACAGTCGGTAACTTCCAATGAAGGCTTTGATTTTATTCGCATCCTTGGTGATGATAAAGTTCTATCCAAATTTGAAGAGGCTAAAAGGGTGGAGGCCTTGGTAGTGAACATGGAAGAAGCCTTGGCAAATCTCCAAGTTTGTCGAAAAATTCTGGCCAACGAAATAAGTAAGCCTTCGCTTCCTAACAACATACTTAGTGTTGTTGACTATCATTGATTAGAGTGACCCTACATCCTTCACAGCTGAGTCGATGAAGAAGGTTAAAGCCAG